AAAAGGGGGAGAGGAGGCAGAAAAGAAAAAAGCAGAAAAAAAACCTTTTCATTTTGGGTAAAGTTCAGCTTTAATTTTCATAACATTTCCATACTTCTAACTGTACTGAAGATATCTTCATAAAACATAGCTACATTCATTTATAAGGAGAATACCAATAAATAAAAGTTGAACATGCCTAAGCTACAATGTTCAGCAGGCAAATGTGGCAAATTAGATCTTCTGAGTGAAATATACATCAGATTTATATCATGTTTTATCTTTATTGATTTGTGATTTCATTCAGTTTATTAATATGTAGATTTATCAGATTGCAAAACCTGCCAGACAGAAATATAGATGCATTTTGAATAATTAATATTAAAGCCTGGATCACACTGATGCAGCTCTGCAAGCTGCGTATTGTGCAGGAACAGCAGTCTATTCATTTGAAACCTCTACTGAAACACAGAGAAAAGGTCCCTGTTCCTTTTTTGGAATTGCAGCTCACACAGGAACTGCAAGTGCAGTGCGGTTCCCAGTGCTGAAGTGATTTCTAGTGCATGTGGCGTGCCTTTAGAGTTAATGCCACCCACACACATCTCCTGCATTTTTCGGTATGGATGGTTGCAGCTCTGGAACAGGTGGGTTACCGGAGCAGCAATCACCCCACAGATGTGAACCTAGTTTAAGGGAGTGCCTGCTGAAATATAATAAAACACTTAAGCATTCTTACGTCACACTTCTAAGCTTTTGATTGGGTTGGCTCAGAAACACCCTTTAAATTAGAAAACTAATATAGCCACCACATATAAAGATTGGCAAGTTACATTACACTACATTTATTTCTTAAGTTTAGATACACGTTATTAAAAAGATTGAAATACAAAATTTCTGTTTGCTTGCTCAAGCATGTTGACACACATCCGTGGGTTCACACAGATAAGCAGGATGTGGCTTACTGAGTGGCAACTTAAGGTGAAAAAAACGTTAAAATTACTATTTTAATAAATTAAAAAAAATATATTGGTTATGACACAGAGTGCTTTACCAAACTAAATTTAATTAAGGTAAAGGGTTACTAAACCCACAACAGTAAAATCAGTCTGTATTTGCAGTACAGCATGCTTGTTATACTCACTCTGGAACCTAAGGGCATAATCCTCTGCATTGTGTAAAAATGCTGTTTGATCCTGTCTTGTCCGATCCTCTCCTTCTTCCAGTGTCTCCCTCTGATCTCCTGATAAGACATATCATGTGGAGTCATTCTGCACATGCTCAGTTTGGTGTGCATTGCTAGATAATTTTTTTTGCTTGGGAGGGAGTGTGTGATCAGCACAGGGCCAATCAGCGCTTTCCAGACAGAGGTCAGGGGTTCTGCATCCTCCTAGAGAAAACTCCTCCTACAAGCTTTAACCACTGCTCTGCTGGACACAAGACTTCTCTAGCTGCTGATGAGAAAAGGTATTTAGCAGTTTATATTTACTAAAACAATTGCACTTCCATGTTCTGTGTACTGTGGGAGACCAGATATAGTGAATGCAGGGTCCTGGGTAGAGTAACACTTTAAGTATGCAGGAATACATGTTTATTGACTAAATACAACAATGTTGCAGAATATTAAATAACATTGAAGCACAAAAAAATAACATATATAATTTCTAGACAAGTTGTATGGTTTTTCAAACATTTGTTTCATGTAAATGTAGGTATGTTTTTTTTCCATGTAAAAAAAAAATTTTCTTTCTCTTCCTTGTAATTATAACAACCAAACTCTGTGTACTGAAACTCCCAGATTGCCTAGCCTGCTGTTCATGTGGTTGGCTTACTGCTTTACCACGAAGTCTGCACAGTGCTTGAGGTCAAATGACAGGCCACCCCTGCAACATCTACTGTAGCTCACATAAAAGGCATGATCACGTTGTAGTAAAGGCAGACACTTTTCAGTCATTTTCAGAAAGTAAAAAAGGAAACAGGAGCACTCCATAATGACTAAATCATAGATTATTATTATACAGCATTTATATAGCGACAACAGTTTGCTCAGCGCTTTTCAATATAAAGGGAGACAATATATCAAAGATACAGCTCAATACAAGAGGGTTAGGAGAGCCCTGCTCCTTGGAGCTTACAGTCTAAGTGGGAGGGGCTGGTGGTACAAAAGGTAATAACTGTGGGGGATGAACTGATAGGAGAAATAGAAGATTTGATTAGTAGCTGTTGGCAGGATAGACTTCCCTGAAGAGATAGGTTTTCTGTGATCACCTAAAAGTGGGCAGAGTAGGCGATAGTTGGATAGATTGGGGTAGAGATCCAGAGGATTGGGGAGGCTCTGGAGAAGTCCTGGAACAGTTAGTAAGGTGGATGAGTCTGGCAGCAGCATTCATGATAGACTGAAGAGGGGATAGCCTGCGATGAGGTAGGCCAATGAGGAGGGAGTTACAATAGTCAAGGCGAGAGATAACAAGGGAGTGAATAAATTGCTTAGTAGTTTCTGAGGTTAAGAACGGGCGTATCTTGGAGATGTTGCGGAGGTGAAGTCTACAAGATTTGGACAGTGAAAGATTTGGGGCTGAAAGGACAGATGGGATTCTAGGATTACACCTAGTACCCTGGCATGCGGGGAGGGACTGATGGTTGCGTTATTAATCTTGATGGAGAAGTCAGGAGAGGGGGGCACGGGCTGGAGGGAATAGTATGAGCTCAGTTTTGGAAAGATTTAGTTTGAGGAAGTGGAGTGACATCCATGCCGATGAAACCCATGCAGGCACAGGGAGAACATGCAAACTCCAGGCAGGGGGGGCCGTGGCTGGGATTCGAACCAATGACCCTAGTACTGCCAGGCGGAAGTGCTAACCATTTAGCCATTTGCTGCCCTCTCGCATTATGAACCTACTAAGCGACATATCTGGGTACTCTGGTTTCCTCCCACACTCCAAAGACATGCTGGTAGGTGAATTGGATCCTGTCTAAATTGGCCCTAGTATGTGAATGTATGAATGTAAGTTAGGGACCTTAGATTGTACACCCCTTGAAGGTTAGTGACTGATGTGAATGTACAATATATATATGTAAAGTGCTGCGTAAAATTGACAGCGCTATATAAGTACCTGAAATAAATAAATAAAATAAGTTGCTTAGTAGTTTCTGAGGTTAGGAACGGACATATCTTGGAGATGTTGCGGAGGTGAAGTCTACAAGATTTGGACAGTGATTGGATTTGGGGCTGAAAGGTCAGATGGGAGTCTAGGATTACAACTAGTACCCTGGAATGCGGGGAGGGACTGATGGTTGTATTATTGATCTTAATGGAGAAGTCAGGGGAGGGGGCACGGGCTGGAGGGAATAGTATGAGCTTAGTTTTGGAAAGATTTAGTTTGAGGAAGTGGAGTGACATCCATGCTGATATGTCACTATTATAGATACATTTATTTCACAAAATGCACCCCCTTTTGAACTTGTTTCACCCAAAACCACTTGGAATACCATGTACCTTGAGATGCACTGCTTTAGACAGTCAATTTAAAATGAATGAGTCCTAATGCATCTCAATGCACCTCAATTTAGAGCATACTGCATTTAGGAACAATGTGCAAACGCATTAAAAATGGATGGCACTGCAGTGCACCAATGCGCATAATCTGTGGATTTCAGTAACACGCATGTTATGGAGAAGTATAAGGGAGTCCTACAGATATAGCTGCCCAATGTCCCCTTTGCCACTATAACAGCTTTTACTTTTACCAGGAAGGCTTTCAACAAGAATTTGGAGTGTGTCTATGGGAATTTGCACCCACACAGCCAACAAGGCATTTGGGAGGTCAAGTACTGATGTTGTATAAGAAGTCCTGGTTTTATTCCAATGGTGTTCAGTAAGGTTGAGTTAAGGGCCACATATGTTCCTCTACACCAGGGGTATCCAGCAAGCAGGCCACGTGTTGCCCAACACCAAGTTATTAACTTGCGGCTATGAATGTTCACATCTGGAGGGATGCCAAGAATGCCATGTTTAGCATCGCACCCATGGCAGGATGCTGGGGATACCATGTTTGCAGTCACACTGGAGGCATTTGCAGGGACCCTTACTAGCTAGCTCCAGCCAGGTAAGTGCCACATGGCCAGATCTAGGGAGTGCTGGGGTGGGCTGTGTTCCCCTCTGGCCTACCCCTGACACTGTGCCTGGCCATCTCCCATCCCTGCACACATACACAGCCTGAATACACAACACATATTGAAATCCTATCATCTGCCTTATCTGCCTGACTGGTTTTTGCTCATCAGCTATTCTTAGGCTCCATTCACATTTCGCAGTTTTGAATCGTTGGCAAAATCGCTGTGATTCCAAATCGCACTGCAATTGTGGCAAAAACGCACCCCACGTGTTTGGGTGCAATTCATTCTTAATGGCACCACAAACACGGTATGATTTTTGCACGCAGCAGAATCATGTGGCAACTGTGGCAAAATGCATTGCGTAAAGCTTGTTGCCTGAAAAGGCACCACAGGAGCTTCTTTTGGGTAACAGCTTTGCACGGTGCGTTTTTCAGTGCAATTCTGTATAGCGACAATTGCAGCAAAATTGCACCACTTTTGGGGTGCCATTAAGAAGTACCCAAACGTGTGGTGCATTTTGCCACAATTGTGGTGCGATTTGGCATTGTGAGCTGCAATTCTGTCGTGATTCAAAATCGCAAAGTGTGAATGGAGTCTTATTGTTAGTATTTTTTAAGTGCGACCCAAGACAATTCCTTTTTGTCCAATGTGGCCCAGGAAAGTAAAAAAACTGGACATCCCTGACCTACACCAAACTGGTCAAACCACGTCTTTATGAACCCAGCTTTGCGCACAGTGCCACAGGCATTCTGGAACAGAAAAAGCCCTTCACCGGATTGGAAGTGTGTATTGGAAGTCTAAAATATCTCTGTATGCTATGTTATTGAAAGTACCTTCACTGGAAACACAGAGAGGTGTCTACATATGTCTGGTCATACAGTATACACGACTATGCAGGCAGAGTCTAATTATAAAGTTTGAATAAAACTAAAAAAAGTCCTGAAGAACCTAAAACAATGCAAACCACCACAAACCCATATATATTCCTGGAGTGTGTACCAATATAGTTGGTTGTAAAAGGCAAGAACATGCAACTATGGTTTGTCAACCACTTCCTTTTCAACAACAGATGTTACTAACATCACAGATATACAGAAATTATGATGTCAGTGTCAAAAATGTGTGTCACAAAAACTAACACAATCACAGGATAAGCTGAAAAAAATTCCAAATTCTTTAGCAGGTAAACTTGCTTATGTAGTTTATCTGTATACTGTAAAGTGTTAGAATGAGGTTCGGCTTTGAATCAGAACTATACTCACCTCTGCTCTAGCAATGAGGCATCTACGGCTCCCTCTCTGGCCCCTTCTGCTTTCCAAATCTTGAGTCCTGTAGACTGGCCATGCCAGGGTGACATAACTCCTGTGCATGTGCATGGAAGGTCATTCATCCTGATATCTGGCAGATGATAGTATGGTACACTGACCTGTGCAGAGTTTGCAAGCAGGAAGAGAAGAATGCTTTATAGCGGATTATTAATAGGGTCCTTACAGTACTTTGCAAGGGAATTTGCATTTTGCAAGAGAATTTTCCATTAGTTTAGGAAATGTGGGGAATCTGTGCTGATTTCCATCATCCAATCACATGCAAGCAAAAATACTGTGTTCTTCAGAGGGCATTGACAGGTAGCGAGAAGCAATGTGTCACCTTCTCACCTCCTTTTTTTAAACTGTACAAGACGACACCACCGTGCTGCAACCACATGTGATGCAATGCACCATACAGGTGTATGGATTGCAATCGCCAGGTAGCACTTCCCACCAAGCAAAACAGAGAGGTTTATTAATGCCGCAAAGCAAACTATTGCAACAGCAGCATGTGTACACCCCCATCCACTGCCTTTGCATCACAAGGGGGAGTGGTGGTAAAAATGAAGCTCAGCTACATGTTATTACCTCCCCACTTCTTCAAACACAAATGTAAAAGATCCCTTAAAGATACGTTTGAGATCATTCTGAATTCCTTCGGTGTGTGTGTGTGTCAAAAAAATTAAAGGAACATTCAATAGGGGAAAAAATCTCATGTTGGATCTCTATACTGATATGGACTGGGTAATGCGTTCGGAACGTAAGGATGCCCCATCATTTGATGGCAATGAAATTTATCAACCTAAAGAGGACTGAATTCAAAGACCCCCGAAAATCAAAGTGAAAAAATGATGCAGCAGGCTAGTCCATTTTGCTGAAATTTCATTGCAGCAGCTCAAAATGGTCCTCAATAGTCTGTATTGCCCCCACGTGATTGTATGCATGTCTGACAACATCGGGGCATGCTCCTAATGAAAGACGGATAGTGTCCTGGGGTATTTCCTCACAGATCTGGACCAGGGCATCATTAAGCTCCTGGACAGTCTGAGGTGCAACCTGATGGTGTCGGATGAACCAAAACATGATATTCCAGAGGTGTTCTATTGGATTTAGGTCAGGGGACAGTGGGGGCCATTTAGTGGTATCAATTCCTTCATCCTCCAGGAACTGCCTGCATACTCTCACCACATGAGGCCGGGCATTGTTGTGCACCAGGAGGAACCCAGGATCCACTGCACCAGCGTAGGGTCTGACAATGGGTCCAAGGATTTCATCCCGATACCTAATGGCAGTCAGGGTGCCATTCTCTAGCCTGTAGAGGTCTGTGCATCTCTCCATGGATATGCTTCCCCAGACCATCACTGACCCACCACCAAAATGGTCCTGCTGAATGATGATACAGGCAGCATAATGTTCTCCCCGACTTCTCCAGACCCTTTCACATCTGTCACATGTGCTCAGGGTGAACCTGCTCTCATCTGGGAAAAGCACAAGGTGCCAGTGGCGGACCTGCCAGATCTGGTGTTCAATGGCAAATGCCAATCAAGCTCTATGGTGCTGGGCAGTGAGCACAGGGCCTACTGGAGGATATCAGGACCTCAGGCCACCCTCATGAAGTCTGTTTCTGATTGCTTGGTCAGAGACATTCAAACCAGTGGCCTGCTGGAGGTCATTTTGTAGGGCTCTGTCAGTGCTCATCCTGCTCTTCCTTGCACAAAGGAGCAGATACCAGTCTTGCTGATGGGTTAAGGACCTTCTATAGTTCTGTCCAGCTCTCGTTGAGTAACTGCCTGTCTTCTGGAATCTCCTCCATGCTCTTGAGACTGTGCTGGGAGACACAGCAAACCTCCTCGAAATGACATGTATTGATGTGTCATCCTGGAGGAGTTGGACTGCGTGTGCAACCTCTGTAGGGTCCAGGTATCGCCTCATGCTGCCAGTAGTGACACGGACCCCAGCCAAATGCAAAACTAGTGAAAAACAGTCAGAAAAGATAAGTATAAAAAAAAATTTTATTGGCCTTCACCTGTAAAACCATTCTTGTTTTGGGGATCATCTCATTGTTGGCCATCTAGTGCACCTGGTAATTTCATAAACACCAAAGCAGCTGAAACTGATTAACAACCCCCACTGCTATATAACTGACCAGATCAATATCCCAGGAGTTTAATTGACTTGATGCAATACTCTGATTAAAAATTGCGCCATGTATATTATTATATATACACACACACACACATACATTTTATATATATATATATATGTTTATTTTAGATATAGCAGTAAAGGGTCAGTCCCATTTTTGGTAGTTAATTTTTCTAGGAAGCTACACGTTGTGGCTTACACAGGGATTGGGGCTTCCTGTATGATGACTGATTAACCCGGTGCTGTCACAATAAGTGAGTCAAATACTCCTCCATACTTGGAAGTACTGGGTATTCCCTTTGGCTCCTGGCGTTCAATATAGATACAGGCAGGGCAGGTGCCAGACTAATTTGCTCCCTAGGCAAGACAGCTACCCCCCCCCCCCAAAAAAAAAATAAAAATAAAATAAAACCTCACCTATAGTTCTACTTCACTCCTCCTAGCACACATCCTCTTTCCCCACAAATTTTCCACCCTAGCTCAAATCCTCTCCCCCCCAAACTCCTCTCTCCTAGCATACAGCCCTCCATTCCCACCCCCATGCACAGCCCCCTCCAAATTACCCTTAGCACAAATCCTTCCTCCCCACCTAAATCCCCTATTCTAGCACAACTCCCCCCTCTCCCCCATCCCCCTCTCCTAGTACAAATCTCCCAATCCCCTCTCCTAGCACAAATCCACCCCCATCCTTCCTTCTAGCAATACCACCCCAATGCCATCTCCTAGCACAGATTCCCCCAATCACCCCTCCTAGCACAAATCCCACCAATCCCACCTCCTAACATCACTCTTCCTTTAAACCCCCCACCTAGGATAAATTCTCCTAAATCCCTCCTCTAGCTAAACCCCCTCCAAATTAGCCTTCCCAGCATAAAATCCTCCTTCCTTACCCAAATCCCCTCAAAGCCCATCCCAGCACCCCCTAGATCGAGCCATGGCATAGAGTAGAGAAACCAGTGGCCATGACCACGTCCCTAGATATTAGTGCACCCTAGGCAGCTACCTAGTTTGCCTAGTGGTAGCAAGGGCCCTGGATACAGGAGACTGAAAGAGAGGTAATTCTATGCTGGGATGGGGACGGGAAATTAAAACAAACCTTTTTGTTTGGCAAGTCTGTTGAGGTGCCCAGAAAATCATCTGGTGTAAGGTCAGTACATCTGAAGCATGGGTGATTACCCCATCAAGCAATGAATATGCTTTGTTAGTTCACTAAATTTACAGGTTAGTCTTTCATCTCACCCACACAATACCTTAGAAGGATGTTAGAAGGGTAATTATTTTTGTATTTAGTTTTGCATTTATTTGAATATCATTAATCTTGTTTTTAATTACTAATCATCTAAATACCTTACAGCTGTCATGCTGAGGTCCTCCATTATCTTACACACCCAAATCAGGATTACAGTTGAAGTACCAGCACCATGAGCCAATCATGCTGTATTGCATTGCCTACTGTTGTCATTGAAACATGTTTTAAACCCCAGGGATGAAAGGGGGGAGATGTTTAAATGGGCTTATAGGCATGAAAGGGCACAAGGAGTACTTTGCCAGTGTGGTCATGCTAATTTATTCAATATTTAAAGTCCAATGAGAGGAATAAATGAAGGGAGGTGAAAAAGAAAGCTTTGAAATATCTCAGTAGTGGAGTCACTCTGTGGAAGGGATCTCCAAACTTTCTAAACAAAGGGCCAGTTTACTGTCCTTCAAAATTTAGGGAGGGAGCAGAAAATGTCCTGGTGTCAGTGGGAGTAAACTGCGTTGCCTCTCTGGTATTAAGGGAAGGAATAGTGTCCCATTGTTGATGTTCGTTGAAGGGATAATGCTCCATTGTGGGTATCAGTGGGAGATATAGTGCCCCATCTTTGGTGTCAGTGGGAATAGTGACCTATTGTTGGGGTCAGTGGGAGTAATAGTGCCCCATCATTGGGGGTCAGTGGGAAGAATAGTGCCCCATCATTGGGGTCAGTGGGAGGAATAGTGCCCCATCATTGGGGTCAGTGGGAGGAATAGCATCCCATCTTTGTGGTAAGTGGAAGGAATAGTGTCCCATCTTTGGTATTAGGGGGAGGAATAGTACCCCATCTTTAGTGTAAGTGGGAGGAATAGTGACCCATCATTGGGGTTAGTGGGAGCAATAGTGTCCCATCATTGGGGTCAGTGGGAGGAATAGTGCCCCATCATTTGGGTCAGTGGGAGATATAGTGTCCCATCTTTGGGGTCAGTTGGAGGAATGTTTCTCCATCATTGGGGGTCAGTGAGAGGAATACTGCCCCAGCGTTGGCATCAGTGGGAGAAATACTGCCCCATCATTGGTGCCAGTGGGAAGAATAGCATGCAGTCATTGGTATCAGTGGGATAAATAGTACCCTGTTGTCTGTGTCAGTGGCAGGAACTATGCCTCACTGCTGTTGACAGTGGGGGGGACTAATGCCCCAAAGGCATAATAAAAGCAAGCTCTATGACTATGTTGTATGGCAGGATTGCATGAATCAAAATGCTGGCTAAAAACAAATAACCCCGGTTCACACTGAATGCGACTTTGAAATCATGCTACTTCACTTGAAGTAGCATGATTTCAAAAC